GGGTTAAGCGACCCTTGTGTGACCATATAAAGTGTTTACCAAACTTTGATCCGTGACGGTGAGGCGTTTGCCGAAGTGCCAGATCGACTGGATAGAAATATATTGGCAAGCTCCCAATAAATGCCACTAATCAAAGTCTTTGGCCTGCGACTGCACTGAGAAAAATGAAATCTATAAGAAAGTCTACTTGCCTAACATAAAATATGTTTTAAATCTATTTCATTTTATATTTTTATTGTGTGCCCGCAGTTAAACGTGAAAGTCTTTCTCACCATTCAGCTTCATACCCGGCCACTGGCCAATCCACATCTTTTCATTTTCCAGCTCTTGTCACGCGGCTTTCGGTGGCTTATGGCCAACTGATTCTGCTGGCTCTTTGTCCTGCTTTTCCTCCGGCAATGGCAATCGGCGGTATCAGTCCCCTTCGCAGCAGGCGTGCTCCTAAGCTCCAGCAACTTCCCTTTTACTTGCCCTGCTCGGAGCCACAGGAAAAACTTTACACAAAGATTATTTAGTTACAAGCGGTGCGTGTGTGTGTGTGTGTGCCAAATAAAAAGAAGAAAATATCAACAACAAGTTGGGATTTAGCTCGGGGGCAGGACCCACAATCCATGTGATACCCCTGCCATTAGCCAGATGAAATAGAGTCCTGCTGCTTGGTATAGTCAGTGAATAGAATAGATTACATTTAAATAAAGCGGCACTAGTTATAGTACTTAAAACTGCATTTAATTTGTGGAAAGTAAGAGATAGATTTTAATTTTTAGAGCGTGTGTTTCATAGTTTCGATAACATACAGAAATCGCTTCCGTTTATGCAGCCACGTCATTTGCCCGCTCGCTTTGGTATATTGGTGTCAAAGTGCAAGCTGAATTGTTCATTGCCCTCTTTTGCGCCATTCATTCATTGCCAGGCACGGCCCCGCCCCCCAAAAGCCCCTTTGAAAAAGTGCAAGCCCGAGACTCTGACACTGAAGACATTCCACAATTTGTATGACATTCGCAATGACACACTTGGCAGGAACTGAAAAAAAAAACAAGGAGAAAAGCCATGCGAGGGGAAGCTCTTCGATGAGATGCGAGTCAATTGCACATGGGTTTCCATTCAGAGCGATTGTGCTGACGCTTCTTCAATGGCCTGAAATGAATGCCGGGAATCGAGTCGCCCCTAAAAACCCCATCGGAAAAGCTGAAAACTCAAATTCCTGAAACAAAAGGCCAAATGCGCTCCCTTTCCGCTGGCCAGTGATGCGGGATCTGCTTATGGCCAAGTTGAACGAGTGCTATTCCTATTCCGATATCGAGTCATAGTCCGAGTACGAGTCCGATGTCATTGTTACAGCCAACTGGCGGACAAGTGAATCTGGCCTTTTTTCGCACCAAGTTGTATTGGTAATGATATCCAAGGGGACATTTGCTCTGTGTTTCCCTTGCGCGCACCGGGCGTATACTTAATATGCACTCGTTTGCCACTTGAAGAGCACAACTTGCGCTTTTGGTTACTTTACGCAGGTAACCACTATTTATGTTTCATTGCATATTTGTTTAAAGCAGATTTGCAGAGTACCAAGCAACATAAATAGTTCGCCAGGCAAAGGGTATATCTTTCGTGGGCTTCAGCCATTTACTCGCTTAACTTTTTATGTATTTTCCCGATTTTCTTCATTGTTTTGCCGCTTTCCCTTTGTTTTTGCCCTTTCAGCTTTCTTTCGCACGATTTGTTTTGCTGCTGATGCTGCTGCTTTGACGCTTGGTCCGCTCAATTGGCTGCAAGTGCAATATTTTGATTTACAATTGTTTCGCAGGACAGCAAGACGCTCATTTTTCAGCGTCTTAATTGGGCGATTTTTCTGTATTTTTGCGAATATTTTCTTTGGGCGCAGAGATACTGCTCAGTGGCCAGTGGACATTTGTATGCATTGCGGGCAGGTCAAAAACCGAAACTAATTTCCATTCTGCAAATAATTTGCGACCAGACATAATTTTTCCGCAGTTGCTGATGTTGCTGCAACTGCAATTTCTGCTGCAGTTGCTGCTTGCGAGTCCCAAAGGGTTGCCAGATTGCCTGACTTTTGCCGGGGATTCCCACTGTTTGCCCATGCACAATGCATACAAATTGCATTACAATCAGCCAGGGCAAACATGGAAATATATTTAAGAAGCGACAACAAGCGCATGGAAGAAGTGCTTGAAATCGTTAAAAGAAAACGAACAAAGTATGGCAAATATTTATATACAAATATTTCAGCTCTAAGCCCAAACAACAGAAGAGTGAAAAGGATGGTGCATATGCTAAATTTTAAATGTAATTTGGAAAATTGCAGAAGACAAGGGATCCATGGCAGCCCAAAACAAAGTGTCCGTTCTGCGAATGGAGTCACATCACGTGCTTGATTCCCACAGAGAAGTATTCGCATTAATTGGCAGCTCTCACTCAAATGTATCCTCGCATCTGAAAGATGCAAGTCCAACATGAAGTTTCGGGAAAAAGCTATAGCTGCCTGAAAAAAAAATATATATTTAGGCATTTCATTTTGTATTTCATGTTTTCTAATTCATACATTTCCATGACTTGTGCATACTTTCACAAGCGATTTCAAAAGGCAGCATCATGGGTTAGCCAATTCAGAGAAAAGTTTGCCTTCTCTGCCATTATACTCATACAGCTGTATATGCAAACATATTTTTTAATTTTCGTCTTTTTGACTGACAAGAAAGGAAATACTTTATTGTTTGCATTTATAATTTATACGATATATCTTTTGCTGATCCTTTTTGGCTCCATCCTCGCTCGTTGTCCTTTGAGGCGCTTGTCATTTCATTTCATTACATCGCATTGTTGTCCCTTTTGGCTTTTGTGCTTTTCTCAAATATTTACATGTACCTTTTTTTCTCCTCTCATTTCTTCATCTCCTCGAAGGACTTCACCTCGTCGCCCTGCCACTGCTCACGCTCCTGCTCGAGGATACTTTTCCCGCAGGAAAATCGCCTGCTGCGTCAGTTTTCCGAACGCCTGCTGGGCTGTAATGGCATTTATTAATTGCTATGTAAATAACTTGAAGTCAATTTTAATGGGAATTGCGTTGGCGCAATCCAAACGAGCCAATTTGCAGGCTCATTTTAATGCCTTCCGCCATTCAAGGATATCCATGGAAATAAGTCATTCACTTATGACCAATTAGATCGAACATAATTCTTCGGTCTTCCTCAGACTTTGATGTCTATATTCGTTCTTTTCCAAATGATATATCACATTCTAACTATAGCTTTATACATCGCTCATTGCTTTAGATCTTGTGTATTTCATGGGCTTCACACATATTTTGCTGGCCCAAGGAATCAAATGGCAAGTGAATGGGTATCTGATTTTGGCCAGAAAACTGAGCTCAAATAAACCGAGTTTCGACAAGCAAAGTGCTGCATATGAAGTGCAGTCGTATGAAGGAGTATTTTAGTTATTCCAAGTGAAGGCAAACATAATGCGCATAATGCCAGCAGTGGTTGGCAAAAATGCTGCCATTTAAATGCTGGCCAACATTTGTCAAGCCTCCGCTGAACTATTGCCGCCTCTCTCTCTTTCTCTCTATCTTTCTCTCTCTCTCTCTATGTGTGTAGAACTATTGCCGTCCCTCTATTTTGGTTCGGTGAGCTACTGTTGCGACACTTTTGTGAGGCGAGCTGCTTGTAAATCTCTTTTTAATTGCATTTAACCGCAAACAAATTCCAAAACCCGGCAACACTGGAGCAGTAGTAGGAAAATCCAGCCGCCCACTGCTTGGCAATCCCACTTGGCCGAAAACCAGGCTGAAACTAAAAACCGCACGTGGCAGACGAAACTAAAATGCAGGACACATGCACAATGAAAGGCCAGTTGAGTGGGCGTAAAGCGGTGGGCGGAGGGGCGGGGGGCCGAACATGGCCGCACAAATTGTTTAAACATATACCAGCCCAAATACAATCCAAATCGAAAAGGCGCCCAGGCAGCCGAGGCAGCAGAAAAGCAGAAAACCAGTCGCAGTCACAGTCACAGTCAATTATACAAATTGCATTTGTGTTGCTCTCTTGCAGGACCACATTTGCATACTACCCACCACAGGACCTTCCCCTTTTGGCCCCGCTTTTGCACACCCCATGGCCCTTCGGATTTAGCCACACGTCGCATGTGGGCCACGAAAAAGTCAACCAAAGCTTCAGCTAGCCCATACAGTAAGCCCGTTATAAGCGGATTTCAAGCGGCCAAAATAGGGCTCCATTAATCGGCATTATGCGGAAATAAATATTGAACATTTACGTAATACTCGATTTGTGGTATAAAGATGCAATTCTTATTACATTTTACATTTGAATGGTATTTGCATTGAATTGTATTGAATAACTGCAGGTACTACCTCAAATTTTCATCCGAGATGCACTCCAGGCAGATGGATCCATCAGTGTGGTCAAGAAGAGCGAGTTGCGATGGAGTTGTCGAGAGCTACCCCTGAGCCCCCTGGAGTTGATTGCTCACATCCAATCGGAAGTTGCCCATGAGGTTCCGCCCCAGGTGCTGCAGCGCTGCGTCGTTTGGATGCGCCGCCTGGCCAGCCATGATCATCCTCTCCAGCTGATCCTCCAGCACGAGCAGCTCCGTCACCCGCTCGAACTCAGTGGACTTCTTCCACAGCGACGCCAGGTTGATGCCCAAGTACGTAAGGCCTGCGAGCACGGGGCCCGACAAGAAAATCAGTATCTGAATCATATTGAAAATTTCCTTTTTTCTATGAATGTATTTAACTGGTTTTTAGAAGCTGTCGGCTTGACTGCGCAAAGACGAATGAAATGTGGAACTTTGTTTGAGTGACAGCAAATGGCAGCTGCTAGAAAATCATGGCCTACTAGGTATGATGCTATTTTAGGGCTATATTGGCTTGGCCGATAGTTTTGTCATTTTGGCACAGTGGACTGGACCTAATCAATTTTTGTCCAATTAATTTCTCAACTAGCGTGGCATTTAGTGTCCAAACAAACAAGCTGTTACAAAGAATTAAAAGATCGAAAAAAAGAGGGAAACAACTTTTCATCTGTCACCACAAATACGAGTATATATTTCAATGGAGAAACACTATATTCGCGTCAATTACGAACTGCAGAAGGCCAAGCTGCTGACCTTCGGGGAGATTCTCAATCTGAGCAATGCCTCGCCCAAGATTTTGAAGAAGACCATCAAGATTTTGGCCAGGGAGCGGTTCAAGGTCAAGCCAAAGAAATTGGAAAACGAGTTACAGTACTCGGCGATCGGGCAAGGCAATGAGTACAAAGTAGAGCAGAATCTTTTTGGGAAAATACAAGCAAGTGAAACCCAACTTTCTTCTCTCACAGGTGCAAGATGGTGATGAAAATGTTGAGGGCATGTCCTTCGAGGAGCTGGTCATTCGCACAGGAGTCCATCCTTTGCACCTGGAGCGCAGCCTGTACAAAATCGCTCTGCTCAGCTACAAATACTTTGAGTTTATGGATTGAATACTGAGCCTTGAATGGACTAGATGCTGAATAAATGCCACATGCAAAGTGAAGCCTTGGCTTGTAATATTCTGTATTATATTTTGTAAAATATAATAGTTTTTCCAAAGAGTTAACAGGTTCCATAAGCAGTTAACCTCGAAGACACTGCCGCCGCTTTGTGTTAACCCAATGAACTTTGTATACTCCCCTTTAGTTTTATCCAATGGATCTCCTTTATTTTTGTATCTTTTGTTAGTCTGCCCAGTTCATCTTTTAATTAATTCACAAGCAGCGTAAAAGTTTTGTAGCCACTTTGGGCCTAGACCACCAGCAGTTTTTCCGCCCCCTTTCCTCCTCCTCCTTACAACAAAAAAAATATATATATATATGTATATAAGGAAAGGGGAATTGCGAAAAAAAGACAGGAAGCACTTGCAACACAACGCAAGAAAACTTTTCTTATACAAAATTATGGAAAACTTTTATTTCCATGCATAACACACATACGCCCTGTTGGCCGCCTGCGTGTGTGCGTGTGTGCGTGTTTATTGCTTTACTTTTTGCACTCTTAAATAAAACTTGCATGCATGAGTGTGCGTGGGTGTCTGCGCACATTTATTTATTTAGTTTCGCTGCCTCTCGGCGCAAGTTTTTTCATACATACATACGTACGCGCATATAAATTTGTATTTTTCTTGCCCCTTTGCGCATTTTTTGTTTCATTTTTGGGCATAAAATTGGCACATCAAAAGCGGAAAATTTAAGTTGCAACAACGGCAGCGGCAAGTGTAAACAGCTCAAATAAAAAAGGAGGCTGGGCGGGAGAGGCGGGGCAAAGCTGTCACATCAGCAATTGCCCATGGGCTTCCAGGACCAGCATCACCACAGTGATTTATAAATTTTTAACTTTTATTCTGCGGCTATAAGCCGGGCCAACTTGACTTTATGGCCGAAGCAGGCCAAATAAAACTTCAGCTGTAAGAAATAATGGGTGACGAAGATGATGATGGCCATGTGATCATCTACACGGGCAGTTTTTGTTTTTTTCCACTTTTTGGAACGTGCCAATGAGCTGGCCGGGCCATTTGGGCTTTTATGCGACTGCTAATGACACAATTTGGTGGCGCAGTAGGAAGATGGCTGATAGGGATATGTGACACGCACGCAAAACAATTAACTGTTAACACTCACTCGCACACAAAAACGCTTACCAACACACACGCACGCAGATACTTTTTACGTTTACGCTAATCCGCGTTGACCGTTTCACTTCACTTCATTTCGCTTGTTGCGTTTTTATTGCACAGCCGGCAACACAGCGAGAAAAAACCTGGCAAGTGCTGGCCCATGAGGACAACACAACTGCTGAATTGAATTTTATATTATTTGAATACTACATTTTTTACTTTAGTTTTCCCTTTTCGAGAAATCTGTTTGGTATTAACCTAATGGATTTGACTTGAAATAATGCCACTTCATACATAAGCAATTTCCTTGTTTGCCAGTGCAAGCACTTGCAATTACGCTGGCTGTGCAGCTGGATTTTCCGATGACCCCTGAACCCGACGAACCCACTCCTTCGCACACTCTCTACCCTTCTCTTTCGCTTTCTCTTCGGCCGGTTCAGTCGGCGTCTAAGTATGCAGCTTCCGTTTCCGTCGCCGTTGCCATTATATGAAGAAGTGTGGCTGTGCGGTGGGTGTGTGTGCGGAAAGGACTTTCGTTGGTGGGCATGGCATTGTTGTCGCAAAGTGCTGAAACACACACACACAGACACACACAGACACATAGCAGCAACACACATGCATCATTGGCCATTATCGCGTGCGCCTTAAAAGCAGCAAAACGGGGTTGGGAGCGGCAGAGAGAGTTGTCTAAAAGCCAAGCCAGCAGCGACAAGGACAATGAAATGCCACTGCCAATAAATAGTGAAAAACAACAACAGCAGCATGGGTAAGGGAAAGGAAAGAGGGGGGAAGGACAGCGAAAAAAGAAGGAAGCATCGACATTTCCTTTGACTTTGCTTTTGGCCTGCTTTATCGCAACAATTGGCAATTGGATTTGCTTTTGTTCGGGCCACGGGGCGTATGCGTAATGTATTTTGTATCTCCTGCCACAAACACGCACAGACACTCACACACACACACACGCACACATACAGAGTCGCGGCAATCGCAATTTAGTGAGGCTTTTATTGGCCAACCCCCACCTTAACACCGTAAAGACCCTAAATGGTAAATTGTAGCCGTAGCTCCCTAGTTTCCGCACTGGGTGACCATTTCGCTGCCCTGTGTCCTGTCATAATGGAAATTACTTGATTATCGTTTACACGTCGCCAATCGCTCAGCGAATCTTCACTGAATGAGAGCGGCTAATAGACGACACACACACACACACACATTCAGGGAGGACAATGGGAACGTTCACAGCCAGGACGTCCGTGAGTCTTATTGAGGTGTTTGTGGCAGGAAGTGAGTGGCAAGTGTGCTTTCCCTGAAATCACGACTTTGTTAAATACATACTTTATGTTATATTATATTATATTCAAATGCTAAAATAATGCTAAAAACAGCACACATATTTTTCAAGCACATATAGTTACAGTTTTGAAGAAAGTTATATTCCACCCTAGTCGGCAAATCGGAATACTCATTGTACATTTTAGGGCATTAACGACGCCTTCGATTTGCTATTTATGCTTCGCTTACAGCGGTGCCCTTATTTCAATGCAACTTTATTTTGTGGCAGCCAGAAAAATGGAGGAAAATCGAAAAACCGGATACAGTGGAATCATTAACTACTCGCTCGTTAATTTCTTAAGCGGGTTTCAGGGCACTTTTCCAGGCTGTAATTAAATTTGTTGCTCGACCCAAAAACCGAGACCGAAACATTGGCATTTTGCTTCGCAGGAGACTTGCTTTTTTTCGGCCAGCTGATTTGGAAAATTCATGGAGGAAATTGGGGGAAATGGCTAAACGAGGCAACTGGGACTTGGTCAAGCTGCCACAGTGCATTCGGCTTGCCTTTCAGCCAAAGGGAAAGCGACAGGTCGAAAGTAGGTGAAAATGTCAATGGGAGCCAGTTGGTTCGTGGCTTCAGTTCGCTGCCGTGGCAGTTATCCTGTGAGTTTCGGCACCGTGGTGAGTTTGCGCAGCCCTCTCCCCGTGGTGAGTTTTCCCCCAGGCGCCACCTAAGAGAAAACACAAAGAGAGTGAATGGCGCTGCGAGTCCTTTGGCTGTAGGTAGCCAGCTTGAAAATGCACATTTTTGATCCATATATTTGCGATCATCACTTAAAAGTTGTTTTAGAACAGCCAGCTGCTCTTACAGATGTTATAATGTGTATTTAAAATAAAACTACATGTAGAGGGCAGACGCACAAAGCAACAATTCGTAAAAATGCTTATATTCGGTAGTTCCTTTTAGACATTTGCGTGGCCCGTGCCGAGACTCGCAAGTCCGGCATCCGAGCCACTGAAACACATGGCCAAAAGGGGGATTCAAGGGGATTCTTGGCGAATTGCGGCCTGTTCCAGGCAGGCGGCACACACGCACTTGGCCGCGCCTAGAAGTATGCTCTGACAACTTTGAAGTGCTCTTGCTCTTGCGGCCGTCGTCGCAGTAGTCGCGATGTCGCGATGTCGCGCCGCTTTGACTTGTCAAACAAAAATAATGCCATTTGCCAGTTGCAAGAGTACTCAGCTACTAAGTCCCACGTCCCTTTCCACCCGCAGCAGCAGCTGCTGCCCCTGCAACAGCAGCAACAGCAACAGCAGCAGCAACAGCAACCGAGCGAACGGCAACACGAATCCGTTTTAATGAAGACCCAGCTAGCAAAAGTTGGCAAAGTTGGCAGACGGTTTAAGTGGAAGGCCAACACTTAATATCGGTTAAAGCTAAATTACTGCCTTAATTGCAAATCAAATTTGAAAGAGACATCAGGCGAAAGTGCGTGCAAGTGGTAAAGGAGATCAAGCAACAATCACGGTTGCCCTGCCGAGAAATAGCAACTTTAATTACAAAAAGGAATTTGAGTTACAAAAAACAAAGCAACACCCAGCTGGATGTAGAAATCACGCAATTTTCTAATAGATTTTCCATTTCGGCTGTTCTTGCCAAGGCTTATCCATAATCCCAAAAAAGCGAACGAGACACATTTTCATCTTAATGATGCTCAATTTTAATCCATTGGCTTCTGGCATCGCCGCGCCTGGAAGCTCTTTAATGTAATTGAAATGTCATGAATGAAATGACAAGAAAACCAACAGCCAGCAGCTCGCTGCTGCTGCACATGTTGCATGTTGCCGGTGGCATGAGGCAACTGAAAAGGCGTTGGTGCTCAGTACGTGCGCGAAAAAAAGAAAACAGTGGAAAACTATACACGGCGGCGTTAAGTATCCTCATCCGCAATTTTTCTAGCCAAAAATGTCCTGCCAATGGCAGCCACAGGCAGAAGCAACAAAGGAGGTGGAAAAATTGGCAAAAGGTGAATGGAGGCAAAAGCGTGGATGTTTCCTTTAAAATAATGTAATTTTTTTCCTTTTTTTTTTCCTTTTTTCCTAGTAATTGAGATGGTGAGAGTGAGCGTGGGTGTGAGTTTTTCAATTAAAGACAGAGAAAATAATGTACGCTCATCATGCTGCTTCAGTTGCTAGGCTAAATGCAGGTCATATGGCCTTGGCCACATCGTTCGCTACATATTCCTTGATTTTCATTATTATTATAAGCCAAGGCATTCCCGAGGTCGGAATAAATGGGGAAAAATGGGGCTGCCAGTCGAAGCGCCATGCATTCCAGGCGGCAACAAAAACAGCAGCTGTCAAAGGCAAAAATAGCGCACAAGTTTGGACTTCATTTTGCAATCCACAAGAACTTCATTTGCGAGTGCCAGGCATCAGCTTCAGTGCATGAATGTCAGGATGGGACGCACACACACACACACGCACACAGATACTCGGCTACACAGACGCACAGTTACACTCACACCCCCACACGCGCACACACGGCAGCTAGGTAAGCTGTCAGCTCATTTTGCAAAGGATGCCGGCAAAGGATGCTGGATGCTGGATGCT